AATGTAATGTATGTAATGTATGTAATGTATGTAATGCATGTATGCATGCATGCATGCATGCATGTATGTATGTATTTATGTGTGTATGTATGTATGTATGTATGCATGTATGCATGTATGCATGTATGCATGTATGCATGCATGCATGCATGCATGTATGTATGTATGTATATATGTATGTATGTATGTATGTATGTATGCATGCATGCATGTATGTATGTATGTATGTATGTAATGTATGTAATGCATGTATGTAATGTATGTAATGCATGTATGTATGTATGTATGCATGCATGCATGTATGTATGTATGTATGTGTGTATGTATGTATGTATGTATGTATGTATGCATGTATGCATGTATGCATGTATGCATGTATGCATGTATGGTATGGTATGGTATGGTATGGTATGGTATGGTATGGTATTGACTATGATGGTGCCCATGACCTGCCAAATCCAATGTCATAAATTTTCAACAGCCCCAAGAGATCACTATAGATGGATGATATAAACCATTCCTAGATGGACCATCTCCACCAGGTTTGGCTTGGACCTGTCACTGGTGGCACGTCTGGGTGGCCCTTTGCAGCCGCGCACGCACCGTGGAAAGGAATGCTTTCCAGGGATGACTATCACCTATGTGCCGTCACCGTTCCTGAGGCACTGATTCAAATGCTGGAGAAGGTGGCTGAAAAGACCAACCGCCTCAGGATTAGCACCAAGGTGCGTGTCGTTGGAACCCGTGAGTTGTATAGGTATGATAAGGCTGGGCAATATCAGGGCTTAACTAGGAAAGAGAGAGAGAGAGAGTGAGTGAGTGAGTGAATGAGTGAGTGAGTGAGTGAGAATAGAACTTGCATATAAGTGTTAGCAACTACAGTCTCGAGACTGCCGTTCGTGGAAGTGACAGTCTGGAGCTGGGAATATGAATGAGTGGTTTTGGCATGTTGGCAAAGCAACGTTGTATGTGAAGGTGGTTTGGCTCAGGTTAGGCTTGTCAAGTCTTGGTGTGGCTGTTGTGCTGTGATGGCGCAATCGGGATTGATTGTGACGTTTCCAGGGGACATGGCGCTGCGAGATCATCAGCATGCCACGTCGCTGATTCATGCTGCTTTGCCCAATGATTTGCCGGACAATGCCATTTACAAGGTGGGGGTCGCGAAAAATATGTTCGCATTATGGAAGTTCTGATGCCGGGGTTGAATGTGATGTTGTTTTCTCGGTGTGAAGGTGCGGCGTCAATCGCAGCGCTCTGCCTATGTGGCGCTCAAGGTGGCTGCAGCCAGCGAAGTGGCAGATGGAATTGTGCGTGCTCTCCAGACCAGTTTCCAGGTGTTACGACTGCCGGACGATCAGTTTCATGCCCGCAACGACAGCGATGTTAGCCTCAAGCGCAAAAGAGATGGCCAGTTAGAGTCGCTCCAGGCTACACCTACGACTTTGCTGGAGAAAATCTTGAAGCTCCGTGGTGAAGGAGGGAGTGAGAAACAGAAGAGACAGGATGGGTGCTTTGGTTGAAGTTGGCGGAGCTTGAGAGAAGGTGGGAAAGCTATCAATCCAATGACTAAATGTATGAACATCGAAAAGGTGTGATAGAATAAACTACTCCAATGAAGTATGTCTAGGTTGGTAATTTATGGGGATCAATCTGAGAGAATCTCCTCTTCGAGGTGGGGAGATGATATGTCTAGGCGCAGAGCAGTGCAACACGTACACTTATGACAGGAGATGCACAGAAATCTAAGGTCTAGGGCTCTTGCAGTGGCTGCGCGACTCACAGCTGCCCAATCGCATTCTTTGCGAGTTTCGGAGATGGTAAGCACGAAGGTGGAGGAGCCACAGGAGTGAGTTCATTGACAGAGTGCAGCAGAGTTGAGGAGCATCCAATTGCTGTAAGCATATGCAGCTTAGAAGCATCATGCAGCTATCCACTGCATCGGTGCAGGATCCTGTTTGAAGCCGTCTTGTCCACTGTTACAAGTTAGTGTTAGGCAGACAGAAGCCTTGACCCTAGCTTTGCGTGTACAGAGCACTCATGCGCTGCGATGTTTTTCAAACTTTCAAGCCAGTTGGACCTATACAGAGGTTTGAGTTGGCTAACTATATCCACTGCATTGGTGGAAAATCTTGTTTGAAGCTGTTTTGTAGCAATTGTGTGGAACACATGCATTGGTGTCCACTGTTGCAAGTTAGTGTGAGGCAGATAGAAGCCTTGACCCTAGCTTTGAGTTACGCTTGTCATGCTGCAGTGCGTCGGAATCACCAATGTGACATAGGGCCAGAAATTGTCGTCGGTGAAAAACTGATTCATTTTGGGAGTTCATTCGGCCAGTTTCGACCAGCAGCGGGACATGTGAAAGCAAAGTTGCACCGCTACATGTCAGCCGTGGTTGGGCCAGCATGTAGGCCTTTGGCAGATACAGAAACAGAGGCCCCTGCATAGGATTGAGTAGCGGCAGAAAAAAAAGCTGCTCAATGCTGTGATGTGATGTAATTTTCATTGTCCCAGGAGTGACAAACATACCAGGCACTTCGTGGTCCCTGAATTGACCATGTGAACCAGCTGTCAAACAGTTGGCAGTTGTGGAAGTTGGTTCCACCAAAAGATCGTTTTCTTTTTGTATGTTTTTTTTTCGCATCTGCAATGTGGTACCTGTCCAACAAGTCCAAACTTTGTTCTTAAGTAGTTCAAATATGTTTAAATATGGTTTTTAGATGTTTCTGGTAGATATATCTATAGTACTCTTGGGTAAACTAACATAGTTATGGAAAATCACCATGCTATCAATGGAAACAAGCAACTATTCTTATGGCTTTGCTCCCATAGTTATGTTGATGTGCTATTTCAGGTCGATCCAAATTTATTCCATGAGACCACCATCAACGTTCCATGAAAAACCACCATGTTATTCACCATTTATATGTCCATATGAAGGTTGCCTAAAGTAGAGGTACGTGCAAATCATCCAAATTTTAGTCAGGTTTTCCCTAATAAACAAGCCAGCTATTGGGGTACCCTTCAGGAAACCACTTGTTTTTAACCCAGCCATCCAGGTCGTGGTGAATGACTTTGGTAGCAGTACCACAGGGACCGGTAGCTCTAGCTCAGCAGCAGTGACTTGGAAGGATCAAGCGCGAAACAGGGCGATGATCCATGTGGAGATTTAGGCTTGAGATTGAGATCCTAGATTTCAATCAGAGGGTTGAACGCCTTGGTGATTAATGGGATATTAACACTGGATATAGTTTGGTGATTTTACAATGGATTTGTCTGGCATTAAGGATCCAATTTTTAGTCTTACCATCAACATAGCTATTGAACATGGCGGCCATGTGAATAGCTGATGTTCCAAAGGAAACCGTTGAATTACGTTCTTGGGTATTATTAGGCCTCGTAAAACGGATATGAAAACGTGCAAGGAAACATGGTGGACACATGGGGTTTATGGATGGTTATGGTAGATATATATCTAGTGTTAATGGTGAAATAGAATGAGGGCTGAAAAGCTCTAGACATCGAATGACTGGATAGTCTTCGAGGTGGACATGGTGCTCTGACGTAGGTTGCAGCGATCAAACAGATGAGCTACGTCCTTTGCATGGTTTGGTAGCTTGGCTCGATCGCAGAGAAGTTGCCCGGTGAAATGCCTTGTGATATCACCTAGAACTTCCGAAGTGCAAGTTTAACGTGTGCGTTCACCCAAAGTGCGTGCTTGCCATTGCGTGAAAATGGTCATTTCACAATGATACATGATGATACACCAATTATAAAAAACATATTTCTTGGGGAATACTATCCATTTACCAGCTATTTTGATGACCGCTATGTGACCCCATATGTCAATCCGGGGGCTCGGCAACAAGAATTAGGATGCCATCTGGCGACGACGGAGGGAACTGGTCAGCAATCGTTGAAATGGTAGCAAATTCGGAGAAGAAACGATCAAAATATATCATTAACTATATATTATAAATATAGGAATTATATATGTATGTATGATAATATTTATATATATATATGAAGCTTATAACGGGAACTTATAGATCTGATCTAACATTTAAATGAGGGTTGAGCTAATAGCTAGCACAAGGTAGGGTGTTGTCACTAACAGTTGGAACATTTTGGAAAGTGGAACTTTGGTTATGATCCATGAGTGCTGCAAGTTTCCGAATTAAACATATATCATATCTGATATTTCATGCAACAAATGGAATGGCCCATGGACCAAATGTTTCAGGGATGTTTTACAATAGCTCTAACAAACATAGCAACAGCATTAATTTCACATCAAAATTGGTTGAAGGGAGAATATGAGGACACCTCCAACACCTTAGAATTGGCGGTAAAAACCATATTTTGCTGTTTTTTTGGTGTTTTTCTCGGTCAATCAATTGACATTATGAAGTTACAGCCCGTTTCACACATAGCCACAGGGACTATCCCATTCAGAAAGCCATTTGGTGGCTGGGTTCACAACCAATCACCCACCATTGAACCACCAATCACACATATAATAACTATACAGTATCATTATTTCACTCACTAGTCACCTCCCATCAGATACGCCAGTGATCCTGTCAGGTAGCGCTGGTGCTGCCAGAAGTGGGGACTTGGATGCAAGGTTGGACCCAGCGGTGAGTGCTCAAAAAACAATCCAAAAATCCCTGAAGATCTGGATGTTTCTGGGGTAAGATGGTGGTTTTTAACCAACAAAATATCGACATCTTCGGCAACAAGTATGGTGGTTTATTAATGGTTCAACGTGATCGATATATATATATGATGATATATGATTTACATGGTGGTTTGCCGGGGATGATGTACATATCTAGGGATTTCGAAGTAAGCTGGGAATATCATAGGGTATATATGACCGACTTGATATTAATTGTACCGTTTTCCCGTTTCAGAACCAAGGGTTGCTACATACGAATGAGGAAGCATTCAACGACCTAATGCTGACTTTGTGCATGGGAGGAATAAACCGTCCAAGAGGAATGGGAAACTATGACGAACAAGGCCTGAAGGTGCAGCCACAGGAAGCAGCAGACGTAGAACTTCCTTGGGACGACGCACGGCAACTGGTAGAAGCAGTCGTACTGTCTCGAGTTGACACACTAGATAACGCAGTAAAGGTGCTTGGACAGAGTTGGGTTCCAACTTGGAACGGCTGGAAAGAATTGCGCCAATGTGCGACAGAGCGCTGTTGTGTTGCAATCGCGGAGCGACTGTGCGACATCGCCCAGCAAAACACCCCTTACCAAAGCAAGACCGACATCCAAGCATTGCAGACTTTGACGTCCGAAGGGTTCATGTGGCGGAAAGCGCTGTCACACGGCGTGAATAACTGCTTGATCGATTCCCTCATATTGTGCTTGTCGTATGAACACATTTTGCCTCATAACTTGACTGCAGATGTCACAGCCAGGTGACGCGTTGCAGCTGCATGCCGAAAGCATTTGATTCAAGAGATTGGGGACGAAGTGGCTCCAGGCAGCAATGGGCTTTTCCCATTCTTAGATGCGCATCGGGATGGCCCCAGAATTGTAGGTTTTTTATTCCATTGGTTTCGCGTAGTTGCGCGCAGGAATGTGTTAATTCATGTGCATAACAGATTTGGTGAGCACGCTGCAGGTGCAGACGGGAATAAAATTGCAGTAAACTTTGGCCATGGGTACCCACAACAGCCTGTTTTGCAGCTACACATTTATAACCACACGTCTGTTCGAGGTAGAGGGTATCATTTTGATAGCTTGCTCCCGATCACTGGGCGTGATACCGAACCAGGGAAAAAGAGAAGCCGTACCGTAGCGGCCATCAACGCAACGAAGATAGAAGCAGAGTCCGTTGCGACAGGATCACAACTCAATGCTCTGCAGCGAGAATCGCAGAGAAGCGGTGGTACACCTGAGAAGCTGAGTTGCAGCAAGGAGGGACTAGAACAGCAAGCAGATCAAAGAGCAGAAACCGTATTTGCAAAGATGGCGTGGTACTTTCATGGCACGACTTTCCCGATATCCTGGCTTGATGCACTACTAGCAAATTTGATTTTTCACGGATATATGTTACAGTGTCCAGATTTGCTTGCGCGTCAGGATGCACGCTTTCACCTATGTAGAACATGCCAGGCAAATTTAGAACCGGAGCAACTAGAAGGCGACGAAGCCTGCGATTTACAGCATCATCTCGCGAAGGCAGCGTTTTTTTTCACAAGTGGGAGCCGAAGTGACGTGAGTGCTGAGGTACATGTGTACGATTCAACTACCACTGACCTCAGTGTACCGCTCGATGTTTACACCATCGGTCGACATGACAGCTTGCTGGTACCAGTCTTCCGCCTCTATCACTACAAAAACGGCCGTTACGCTGCCTTGTTGCCTGCTAACCCAGCAGAACGGCCTGTGTTCACAAGTGGCGGCTCGCAGATAGCAAACAAAATGACATGAGTGCAACGTGCACTGTAACGCCGCCGACAAATTCGTTTGGAACAATTGGCTGCGCTGCCGGCATAGGCGCAGCGCCCGATTTGCGCGCGCCGCCGATTGAGCAAGTGCGTGAAATCTTACAGCGGTTCTGTGACCAAAGAGGCGCAGATGTGCAAGTTGACGAGAGAGACGCGCATCGAGTGAGTGATGCTTGGTGGAACTTAGATGCGCTGGGAATAATTTTGCACACCCTTCTGCAGGCAGGGTTAACTTTTGCAGATGCAGGCATGCATCACGCACGTAGATTAGCAAATCAGTGGCGCGGTTTCTATACTACACAGACGCAAGGTGCTGGGAAACGATTGTCAGATGGTTCAATGGAGACAGCTCAGAAGGAAAATGTCGGTCATAAGACGGCTGCAACAGATGCAGCTGCTACCTGCTCTTTGCACAGCACACCAGCCGAGAGACAAGAACCAACTAGTACCAGTGACGTGAATCTGAGCATTACGGCTCGAAAACGGCAGGCAACGCAGCAAGATGCAAGTGCAAGCCCAGCGCGCAAAACAGAGATGCGTGTGCCTCCTCGCCGTGTGCGCCACAAAGCACCGCCGGTCGGACCAACAACAGCACCAACATCCGAAACTGGTTCGCTTCACGGCGCTAGCACTGACGCAGAAGATATCTATCCTTTGCGGCTCTGGAAGCCGTCGCAAGGAAACAAAGACCCTCGGGCAGCGTATGATTTTGCAATGCAAGATGCAACAGCTCTTCTTTCAGACAAGCCTACATTGCCGGAACGCCTGCATGCCGCAACTGACCCTGAGATGGCATATGACTTGCCGGATTACCATTGCGCATTTCGAAGCTGCGGGTTCGAGTGTGCGACACAGGCGACGCTCGCAGAACACGTTGCTCAGCATCATGCGACTGCGTTACATGACTTGGCATTACGGTGGTCATCACAGGTTGCCCCTGCGCAAGCGACATTCCAGGCATATCAAGACCTGCTAACGCAGCGCTGCCAACAGTCTGGTCCCCTTGCGACCTGTTCTATTGACCGACGCTGTTTGCGGAGATTCCGTTCTAACATGCTGGGTCACCATGTCGGTACCGCGATCTGCTTCGTGTGCGCGCGTCGGTTCCCATTCGTGGACGGTTTTCCGAACCAACAAATTGCATGGCTACGAGCATACGAGCCACGCACTGGATTGTTCTTCGACCATGTTCCTGAGATGCTCGAAGCTTTGTTGGGTATGAGCACGTATCACGCACGTTATGTGGCAACTCTGCCTGCTGATACGCAACCTGGTTTGCAAGTTGAATTGGCGCAGTGGACCTGTAACATCGTTTACGCCTCATATAATATGAGTGTGCTTGCATGCCCAGAAGATAAAAGATGCAGTCAGCGTTGTCCTTCGAATCGGCTGTGCACGCATTGCGAAATACCTATGTGCACGTCTTGCCACACCAGGATATATCGACAAAGAATGAAGCCTCTAGAGGCACTGAGCAACGACTTGTTCCTGGGGCATCCGCCGAAAGAACTATATGGCCAAGAATGCACGATTTTGGAATTATTATGCGCAAGTCCGTGCATGACTGCATTAACGTGTTTCAGCATTGAATGGCGGTATCTTCAAGATCGCAGTCTAGCCCAAGATGCGCTCATGAATCGACATCGTCTGTGTGCAAAGGGCAATGCCACGACATTTCCGCTCCCCTGGGAAGACCTGCTAGCGGAATTTGAGCGTCTGGGAGCCTCGGCTACCAAGGCTTCCGTGAATATGCTGCCGCACGTTGGTAAGGAACTAAGTGACAAGGTAGCCGTCATCATGAAAATCGGTGACAAGACAGATAAAGAGGCAATACGTCAACAAATTATACATCAGGCCGTCGTTCGTCGCCGGGTCGTTGTAGGGCTGATTGCTGCCATGGTTGCACGTAGCCATCAGGCATATCAGGGTATAGATATGGCAGTCGTAGAAACGCGCGCTGAGATGCTCCCCGATAATGACGTGCCGGCTGAAATCAATTGCGTTGCTTGACAACGATGGGGGCTTAGATCAGGTGTTGCGCCAAAAGGCTGCCACACCGGTAAATGGTCAAATGACTGCCGAAGAAGCGAGACGGGAATTTGGTCACATGCTGAAACCCAATGCGGTTGTCCTGGAAAAGACAAGTGCTGGATACCAAGACGTGAATGCTCAACATATTTCTGCATTGGAAGAGATTGTGGCCTGCGCTGAGCCAGCATCTGCACAGCCTCTGCCCGAAGTGACATTGTATACTGGTACCAAGCTTCTGGACCAGTTCCAGCCGCTGTATTTTGCGTTGGCTTTCCCATTCGTCTTCCCGTACGGCATTGGCTTACCCGATGTTCCTAAGTGGAGCCGGCGACAGCGGCCACGAAGACACGCGGATGATCCATATGTGGAGCTGAACACGTGGGTGCGCGCCATGGCGCGACGCATCGAAGCCCAAGTCAGTCGTGATTGGGCTTTTGGCTTTACATCCTGGAATTTGCTTTTTCGATCGGCGCTGAACCTTTCACGTACTACAGACGCATATTCCCGCACATTCTTTGATGAGGACATCCAAGAATGGGTGCAACCGACTGGGCGCCATGTCGAAGCGGCTGCCCAACAATTGCTCCTTGCTTTGAAAGGTTCCTACATAGATGTCAATGGACAACCACGGCCCGTCAAGGGTGATGTCGCGAAGCTCCGCTATGTGCAAGGGCTAAAGCCTATGGCCCGAAAACTTTTGAACAACATGCGGCATACAGCCCAAGGCTTGCCTGGGACTCAAGAAGCTCGGAAAAGGATGCGGTTCGAGATTCAAGCCATGCGTATCCGGTACGGAGTGCCGTTGTTTGTGACATTTACGCCAGATGAGGCGCATCAGCTACTTTTTGTGCGGATGACGCGCGTTCGCTCCTGTGACCCTGTTCGCGCCGCCTCCATAGGGCAAGATTTCCCGGCTGGGGAAATGTTTTTCCCGCATTTGGGATTGCAGAATGCTGTTGCCATGGGACCTTTCGAGCATGAGTTCACTTTACCGATGTCTTGGGCAGAACGCCGCGAAGTTCTAGCGCGGGATCCGTTGGCTGCCGTGGATGGGTTTCGGGTGCTGACACATTTGATGTTGAAGCATCTCTTCGGCGTTCGTGTGTGTCCATACTGTCCAGATTGCAATCGCTTCAGTGGATTGGAGCCGTGTCAAGACCTTGGCGGCAGCAGCGCAGAAGCAAACGGTGGCATATTCGGTCGCGTGGACGCAGTATATATATCTCTCGAAGCGCAGAAGAGCAGCGGGGCGGAACATGGCCACATGCAAGTGTTTGTGCAGTGTTTGCATCAACACACTTCATTGGAGGAAATCTTCCGGCTTTCAGACGCCAAGTTGGCTGCGTTGCGCGCAGAATACGAAGCATACAATGCGCATGTGTGTCATGCAAGTTATGTGGGCCAATCGAACGAAGACATGGAAAGCCGCATTGCCGCTGCGGAAGCATCCTGGCCAACGCACGAGCTGGACGTGACGATGACAACGGTTCCGACATATCAACTGCAACGTGCTACTGAAGCCGATAACGCCCAAAACGAAGCTGCAGACTGGCGAAGGCGCTACATGGCAGAAGACGTCGTCCAACTGCAGCTTCTGAAGCAGCATCATTACCATCCTTACAATGAAACTAGCCAAGGTCGCGTCCCATTGGCAGGCTGCCAAAAGAGTGACCGGCCAGGGCTCTTCGCAAAAAATTGCGTCGGACCCACGTGCTACGCGAGACATGGGAAGCGATTGCAGAACACAGACAAAAACGCACGAGCCAGACCATGACGAGCGAAAAAGAAGGTACACATGAGATTGCAATCCCAAAAGAAAGAGAACAAAGTCCACCACCAGAAAAGAATTATGTGTACGTATGCCCTTTCTGCGAAAAATCTATTACTACTTCAATTGCTTCCGGACATGTCGACCACCGACGCGTGTGCGGGAAACAATTTCGCGTGCAGGATGGAGTTCTTCGGCCGACAGCCCACTTTTCGCATACATGCCCTACTTGTGGAACCTGCGTCCAAAGCACCAAAGAATTTGGGCGAATCAAAAGCAAACACAAACAATCCAATGGTCGCGTGTGCCGCCGAACGGAATGGCATGCAAAGTAACAACAAAGAAGCTCTCAGCATGAAAACTTGCAACAAGAAAACAGGCTCGCAAATAATCACCTGCCGAAGAAAAACAACATGTCCTGGAAATCACCTCTCGTGGAGAAAACACCAGGGCTCTGAAGGACGACTGAGTTCCAGAACCACGCCAAAAAACTGCCTAACGTGTCGTCTGAAAGCCCAGAAACAGCTGTTTTTTTTTAAATAAGCTGCTGGCTACTGGCTGCTAGCTGCTACTGGCGCTGGCTGCTGGCTACTAGCTATGTGCACCTTTTGCGTGCTCTTGCCCATGTTCTTGACACCCATTGGTGCTATATAAACGAGAAAACTGCCAAACGTCACGTTTGAAACCCTATAGAAATATATACAAGATATATAGAAGTGCCTAACGTGTTGTCTGACATCCTAGAAAAACACAATTTTTCGATAGATTCTGTTGCTGGCGGCTGCTAGCAGTAAAGCAGGTTCGAAAAAATCACCTCCCGGGGGGGGAAACACCAGGGCTCTGAAGGACGAGCGAGTGCCAGAATCACGCCAAAAAAGTGCCTGACGTGTCGTCTGAAATCCTAGAAAAATCTAGATTTTTGGTAGGCTGCTGGCTACTGGCTGCTGGCTGCTACTGGCGCTGGCTGCTAGCTACTGGCTATGTGCACCTTTTGCGTGCTCTTGCCCACGTTCTTGACACCCATTGGTGCCATCCTTGAAAAACATAATTTTTCGTGCTGCTAGCTGCTGCACTGCTGCCGTTGCGCGTACTGCTGCTGCGTCTGCTTGTGTCTGCTGCTGCCTACTGATGCTTGCTGCTGCCTGCTGCTGCCTGCGGCGGCCTGCTGCCTGCTGCTGCTGCTGCTGCTGCTGGTGGCTGCTGCTGCTGTGGTGCTGCTGTCGTGCTGCTGCAATCAAACAGCTTCCAAAGCAAGAAACAACTGCTGCTGCTGCTGCTGCTTCTGCTGCTGCTGCTGCTTCTGCTGCTGCTGCTGCCCTTTTGCGTGCTCTTGCCCATGTTCTTGATACCCATTGGTGCCATATAAATGAGAAAATTGCCAAACGTGACGTCTGAAACCCTATAGAAATATATACAAGATATATAGAAGTACCTAACGTGTCGTCTGACATCCTAGAAAAACACAATTTTTCGACAGATTCTGTTGCTGGAGGCTGCTAGCAGTAAAACAGTTTCGAAAAAATCACCTCCCGGGGGAAAACACCAGGGCTCTGAAGGACGAGCGAGTGCCAGAACCACGCCAAAAAAGTGCCTAACGTGTCGTCTGAAATCCTAGAAAAAGCTAGATTTTGGGTAGGCTGCTGGCTACTGGCTGTTGGCTGCTACTGGCGCTGGCTGCTAGCTACTGGCTATGTGCACCTTTTGCGTGCTCTTGCCCACGTTCTTGACACCCATTGGTGCTATATAAACGAGAAAACTGCCAAACGTCACGTTTGAAACCCTATAGAAATATATACAATATATATAGAAGTGCCTAACGTGTCGTCTGACACCCTAGAAAAACACAATTTTTCGATAGATTCTGTTGCTGGGGGCTGCTAGCAGTAAAACAGGTTCGAAAAAATCACCTCCCGGGGGGGGAAAGCACCAGGGCTCTGAAGGACGAGCGAGTGCCAGAACCACGCCAAAAAAGTGCCTAACGTGTCGTCTGAAATCCTAGAAAAATCTAGATTTTTGGTAGGCTGCTGGCTACTAGCTGCTGGCTACTACTGGCGCTGGCTGCTAGCTACTGGCTATGTGCACCTTTTGCGTGCTCTTGCCCACGTTCTTGACACCCATTGGTGCCATCCTAGAAAAACACAATTCTTCGTGCTGCTAGCTGCTGCACTGCTGCCGTTGCGCTTACTGCTGCTGGGTCTGCTTGTGTCTGCTGCTGCCTACTGATGCTTGCTGCTGCCTGCTGCTGCCTGCGGCGGCCTGCTGCCTGCTGCTGGTGCTGCTGCTGGTGGCTGCTGCTGCTGTGGTGCTGCTGTCGTGCTGCTGCAATCAAACAGCTTCCAAGCAAGAAACAACTGCTGCTGCTGCTGCTGCTGTATGAGTTCGTTGCACCTGCCGCTGCAGAAGCTTTTGCTGCTGCTGCTACTGGTCCCCGGATAGGAAAACACCATGGCAGTGAAGGACGGAGAAGCCCCAAAATTGCACCCCCGAAACCCATAGAAAATGATGATTTTGGCGGCTTTTTCCTCTTGCTGCTGCTATGAATATGAAGTTTGGCTACCTTTTCCTCCTGCTGGTCCCCGGACAGGAAAACACCATGGCAGTGAAGGACGGAGAAGCTTCAAAATTGCACCCCGAAAATGCCTAACGTAACTTCTGAAACCCATAGAAAATGATGATTTTGGCTACTTTTTCCTCTTGCTGCTGCTATGAATTTTGGCTACCTTTTCCTCCTGCCGCTGCAGAGGCTTTTGCTGCTGCTGCTGCTGGTCCCCGGATAGGCAAACACCATGGCAGTGAAGGACGGAGAAGCCCCAAAATTGCACCCCGAAAATGCCTAACGTAACTTCTGAAACCCATAGAAAATGATGATTTTGGCGGCTTTTTCCTCTTGCTGCTGCTATGAATATGAAGTTTGGCTACCTTTTCCTCCTACTGGTCCCCGGACGCGTCTGTATGTCATGTGATACAAAAAAAGCATGTTTTGTTTGCCAAAGCAAACAAACGAAAGAACACTTCGGCGCCTCAGCGTGGATGGCAAGGGAGCCCAAGCGAAGAGTGTGTTTGCAGTGCCAAACGAAAACGCGTGGTTCTTGGAAGTGCGCAGCATGTCAGCAACGCAAACCGCAGCAGCAATTTTCTGATTTCATTAGAAAGCGGTCTTCTGGCGAAAACGGTGCACAAACATGCAATGCATGTCGCGCCGTTCTTGCGC